TCGACCTTATCTTGTAAGACGTTCTGTTCAATCATCTGCTCTAGATCAATAGCTTTCGGACCAGACCCAGCAATGATAAAGCGGGTATTAGGATGGTTCTCAAGGATTCGGGGGATCGCTGCAGTGAGGAGATCGGTTCCTTTATTATAGAAAAGACGGCTAATAACAACGATCGTGAGAGTATCATTTGGACCGAGCGGATGTGCGGGCAACGGGTTCTGAGTGAAGGTAGAGCTGTTCGGTTCTGGGCGAGGGAGGGGTTTGAAGTTCTCGGAGACGACGGCGTTGGGGATGACAGAGACCATGAGAGGGTCAAGTGCTGCCCTGAGCACGGTATTCTCCTTGCTGGAACAATTGTAAGCGGGAAATAATAGGTCAAAACAACGGGAGGGTAGGCAAAGAGCATACCAGGTATGGCTAACGCAGATGACGTGATCTACGTCGCTCAGAGTAAATTTAAGAAGTTTGTTGTTCAGTATACTCGCCGCATCGGCAAAGCCAAATAACGAATGGTCGGTATAGACAGTCCTCAGCCCCATAGTCCTAGCATGCAAGATGGCCTCCTGGCAGAGACTGCTAAAGCTGGCATGTCCGTGGACAATCTCTATACGTTCTCGGATGATTATATTGCGGAACAGGGGGAAGAAGGAGAAGACAGTCGGGAAGGTGGCGGAGCGATATATGATGGCAAAAGGAACGTGGAAGACCTTGATGCCGTTGGTCAAGTACCGTATGCCCTTCCGGTCCTCATAGGCGTGGGTGATTACGATGACCTTATGGCCCCGGTCGATCAACTTGGTCGCGAGCTGGTAGATATGGCTTTCGACTCCGCCCGGCTGGGGGAAGAAGAAATCGCAGACCATAGCAATGTTGTAGGTTCGGCGCGGCATCTTGGAGGGTGGTGATGACAATGTTCACACAAGTTTCGAGTCATATTCGAAAAGCGCAGTCAACAACAACTCGCAAGGTTGTGGTCTCGGTATTAGGGTTGGTTGTCCATCAAGGTGGAAGTAGAACGGCGGTTTAGCACGGGCTTTGAGCTGCAGGACGGTTTACTCGCTGTATGGAGGCGATGGAGAGTTGATAGATACACGCATAGTTCGGATGTGGTAGCCTGTCCCAGCACCGAATGTCGAGGGGTGGTGGGTGTAGGAGAGCAAGAACAATTGCTCCAGTCGCATCGACAGTTGTTAGTGATAGAAATGGAAGTTGGAACGTGGGCATTCGCGTTCCGCATAGACTGTACGGGACACTCAAGTCACTGATAAGCTGATAGGTAGATCGATAAGGGATAAGCTAAGCTTAATCGATAAGAAAAGCGGTGACAGTTTATGCGATGGCAGAATTTTCCAGAGTATCTACAACTAAAATTGTAGCGTGGTGGGTATCTTCAACAGCTCCAACTACGGCGGTCAATTGGCTGACGAGGACAGACGAAACCTCATACAAGAAAAATGTATTCCCGATACATACCGCCGCCTAAAAGCTCCACGACGAATTCCAACCAAATCCAAGCTTCCGAGTCGCTGCCACAACCGAAGCCACAACCAACGACGTACGCCCGATACATCCCTCCGCCCAAATCGAATACCCAAGAAGGAAACAACCATCAAACTAGTCAGCATGTACGCTTTGGTGATGATGATCAAGAGAAAGTATTGGATGGCGATGAGCCTCCCGCCAAAAAGGCGAAGTTAACACAGGATGATTCGCCTGAAAAGTCGAAAAATAAGTCCAAAAAATCCAAGAAGAACAAGAAGGGAAGGGAGAAAGATACGGACCTGGAAATACCCAATACGAATAGCATATCCAATAGCGATTTCACCAAAGAAATAAGTAATCAAGATCAATCTCTCGGTGGTGAAAACCTAGTCGCAAAAGATGATCCAAATCAAGAAACCCTCCTAGAGACATCTCAAGAGGCGCCCTTACAACCGGTGGAAAAGCCGACTAAAGAGAAGAAAGAGAGAAAGAAGCAGAAGAAGGAAAAGAACATCAGCAAAATGGTGCCTGATACTGAAGATAACGCCCCGAAACACTACAAAGCGATATTGGAGAGGAAGGCCAAATCAATACAGAGGGCCCCTGAACCAGCCGATGTGGTTAAAGAGCCTGAAGATGGAGATGTCACCATGCAAGATGTGTCCAATGGTAATAGTGCGGACATAGAAACCGATAAACAGGTCGACGAGCCTGTGCTTCATGGGCTAGAGCCGCTTCCCCAGCCAAAACCAGTTGCTCCAGACACGACCAAGCCAACCTACGAGACATTACCGCCTTGGCTGGCTGCACCAATCCGCGTCTCTCCGCAATCTACTACGCCTTTCTCTAATTTTGGAATCTCGCCGGAGCTAGGTATCACCCCGGAGATTGCTGAGAGATTGTCTGACAGGGGCTATAAAGAGGCGTTTGCAATACAAACTGGTGTGATACCACTCCTACTCCCTCACCATTGCAAAACAATGCAAGGCGATGTTCTTGTTTCAGCCGCCACTGGATCTGGGAAGACTTTGGCATACGCACTTCCTATGATAAGGGACATCAGCAATAGCAATCGTCATCTTACCAAGTTGCGCGGCTTGGTCGTTCTCCCGACGCGTGAGTTGGTCAGGCAGGTCCAGCAGGTATGCGAGCAATGCGTCGATGTTTTCGCACTTAATGGGGCAAAGAGACGGCCACGAATCGCTATATCTATGGGGAGCCAACCATTAGAACAGGAACAAAATGCTCTCGTCGAGAGGGAAGAACACTATGACCCCGAAGCATACGCCCGACGGATGAGGAGATTAAGATCTTCGACTAATTCACTATCTGACGAAGAAGATGAAGGGTACAACACGGAAGATGAAGAGAAGGCTGCAATCCGGAAAAGGGAGGATAAAATTCAAACATTGCCCGATCACGTCATTGTATACAAGTCTAAGGTGGATATCCTCATCTGCACGCCAGGTAGGCTTGTCGAACACATTAAGTACACGCCTGGCTTTTCCCTGAACTTTGTTCGGTGGCTTGTTGTAGACGAGGCAGATAAGCTCCTTGGACAGAACTTCCAACAATGGCTAGACATCGTCATTCCACGCCTACAGACCAACAGTCAACCGAATGCTCGGAATCACAAGCAATCGAATCTGTCAGGGGTTCGAAAAGTAGTCCTTAGTGCTACTATGACCCGAGACCTGGACCAACTAGAAGGGCTTAAGCTTCGACGACCAAAGCTGGTCGTTTTGGAAGGTTCGGAAGCGAAGTCTGATCCCGTGGTCGATGGTAACTCAGCCGAACATGCCCTTCCCGGGCTGCTCGAGGAGGCCGCGATCAAAGTTAACGATCCTAATCTTAAACCCCTATTCCTACTTGACTTGCTTCAAAGTGATAAGTTCTTGGGCAAGTCAAGTCATAAAAAGGGTAAACAAGGAGAACACAATAGCGACGACAGCGACGATGGCGATAAATATGATGAGACTTCATCGTCTGGGTCGGATTCGGATTCGGATTCAGACTCAGGCGTCAACACAGCATCCAAATTATCCAAAGATTTGCCTACAACGACGAAGGAAATGCCAACCGTGTTGATCTTCACGAAATCAAACGAGACCGCGCTCCGTCTCTCCCGCCTCCTGGCCCTACTCTCGCCAGCCCTCGAACCGCTCACCGGCACGCTCACGTCCACCACGCCCTACGCGAACCGCCGGGACACGATCCGTGCCTTCGCGTCGGGCCGGCGGCGCGTCCTCGTCGCCTCGGACCTCGTCGCCCGCGGCATCGACCTGCCCTCGCTCGATCACGTCGTCAACTACGACGTGCCGTCGAGCGTCGCGTCGTACGTGCACCGCGTCGGGCGCACGGCGCGCGCCGGCCGCGCCGGCCGCGCCTGGACCCTGTACACGAACCCCGAGGCTAGGTGGTTCTGGAAGGAGATCGCGAGCGAGAATGCCATCTCTAGGAGGAGCGGGGTGGAGCGCGTTAGGATCACGGACAACGACGAGAATGGGGATACTCTGGCTAAGAAGGTGGAGGCGTACGAGGGCGCGCTCGAGAGGCTGGGACGGGAGGCTGCGGGTCATCATCATCATCGTGTGTAGAGGTAGATAGGGGGGTTTTGTAAAACGACGTAATTACGGTGCATGATGCACAGTTGTATATATGTGGACCTTTTACTATATTATATCACCAAAGCTAGACATTCACATGAGACCCAAAATCGATAGGACTACTAGCTTAGACGCTACTAGCATAGTCACTTGACAACATGATCGTATAGTCTTCGTACTTGCGTATGATTTTTTCTTACAACCTTTGGGACGCTTTGGCCCCTTCTCCGTAGAAAAAGAGCATATTAGTTACGAGGAGTTCCAACAGACAGTGTGTGATGTCCTCCTCTCGTGCATTGGAACGATTCCAAGCCCGGGTTATCTTGCGAGCTACGATGATTTCGGATAGGGAAGTATACCATATCAGTATGTCCACCTCAACACCAGTTATCTCCGTCATCGTCCTCTGGAGCGCTGGCTTCGTCCCGAAGCTAGCCCACTTCCGGTTTTAGAACTCAACATGCCGTGGAGCGATGGGTTCCCGGATAAAGGTGGTAGGGGTGGTTTAAAGGAGGTGAATTTCGGTGGGCCTTACGGCCAGAGGTGGGAGTCCCTAAACTACTTAAGTTTAAACGGTATAAGAAAAGGATAAGACACTGCCAAATGAGTATTACTTGGTCAATTAGGCTGTATGTTACGATACGAACCGGCTACATAGTAAGGAGGGTTGGCTTAATTATGTACATACTCCTGTATATCACAGGCACTTAATTTCATTGTACATACAATACCCGTTTAGTTAAGGCTTAACTACCTAATCATAGCTCCAAAAAATAAAAAGCATCCGTCCACCTAGAAAACTCGCCATAAAACAGCAGCTTTATCCCTTTCAAGGTATTTAGGTACTTAATGGATTCATCAATTAAAAAAGATTCGATACCTATATTTTGAGGATTAAAATATAAGGAGCTCTGCACTCTTCGGGAGTCGAACCCGAGTCTCAGCATTGGAAGTGCTAAATGATAACCGCTACACTAAGAGTGCTGATTGGAGCAAACTCAATTTAAGATTTGCTATATATACTCATGCGGCGGAGTAGGCCCCATTGCTATTATTAGCACATTGAGGGAGAGCCAAATATTATTAGCTGGCTAGCGCTGCTAGATGTTTTGAGAATATGGACTTTTCGACATATTATATATTGTCCATGTTCTCCAACACGTGAAAAGTCCCTGCTGAAGTATGTTATTGTGCATACTGCGGCCCACAGCTCTATTGAGTTCAGGCTTTCCATGCCTTATATACACATAGGCCGGCCTAGTCAGATAAACAGCTAACTGCTCCATCAGACTTGGCTGGCGTTATCATTAGGTCATCCCGGTGCCCTATCCTGTTTGGGCGCAACGCGGGTTCAAGTCTATCGGCACACTTCTAGAAGCCCTGAGGGTTTCTAGCAGCCATTATAGAACTTATATCCTCTGCCAAGCTAATGGGGAGCGGATCTCTCACTGCAGCCGTTTCCAACGCCGAGAAGACCGCCTTGACACCTATACCGACGCTCTGCGTCCCTGTAAGGGATTGCAGTTCATTTAATGCCTCGTTCACGTCAGATGGGCCATTGAACTTGCCAGAGGCCATCAGGAGTGCCTGCAGCTCTCGGTGATCCTTGACAGCCGGCACAGCGATCTCTCTATCAAATTCGAAGACGCCGTGCTGGTCTAACATAGACCGCTGACTTGTAGTAGCGATAATCAATAGTCTTCTACCCTGCTCAAGTTTTAGTACTGCAAGACGAACACCCTTTAAGAATAAGGACATACCTTAGGAGGGCGATTCTCAAGCACGGCGCCCAAATACTGGACGACCGCGTTCGAGAATCTTGGCCCAATAGGGTTCCAGTCGATGATTTTCTCAATGCTATCAAGAATGATAATGCTGAGGGCTGATTTGTATGCGTCAGAGAAGGCGCGCCGGAGGAATTCGAGTTTGGCAACCTCATTTGTCCCAACATCGATTGGCCGGATGATCTTGACAAATGGGAATTCCGACTTCAACCCAATCTCGGCAGCCAGAGCCGTTTTCCCAGCCCCATGGGGGCCGTGGACCAACACGGAGAATAGAGGCGACTTCTCGGAAGTGCGAACAGCCTTGACAAAGCTGAGCCCTGTAGAGAGAATGGTTTGGATATGTGGGCTGTAATCAATGATACCATATGGGGAAGCGCTGCTAAGCTCCTCCTCTGATACACCAAAGGCCGGCTTCACATCCTTCAACGCCCTCATAAAATCTTCACGAGTGAGCATCACATCCTGAGGATTACCGCTCACACCAGTAACGTCCCCGAGCCTAGTGTGCCGGGTGAAGGCGTAAGAGAGGGCCGCCTTCACCAGGCCAGCAATCTCAGCACCTGAGTAGTTCTTGGTTAATTGCGCAAGTTCATCTAAGCGTACGTCATCCGATAGCTTATTGATGGCCCGGATCTTGGCAGTATGGATGTTGAGAATCTGCACACGGCCGTGCTCGTCAGGAAGGGAAATTTCGACATGAACTTCCAAGCGTCCAGGTCGCAGAAGGGCGTCGTCTATCATGTCCTTGCGGTTGGTCATGCCAATGAGGAGAATATTGTTGAGCTGGTCGACACCATCAAGTTTTGAGAGCAGCTGGTTGACCACACTGTCGCCAACACCAGTACCACCGGTACCCGAGCCGCGCTGTTTGCAGACAGCATCTAGTTCATCAAATATAATGATGTGCAGACCTGACTCCTCGCCTTTTTCTTTCCATTCTTTCTCTGCGTCCGCAAACATTTTGCGGACATTTTCTTCTGATTGACCGACGTACTTGTTGAGAATCTCAGGGCCGTTAATGATCTTTGGCTCCCGTGCATTCAACATCTTGCCGATCTGTCTGGCAATCAGTGTTTTTCCTGTGCCAGGAGGTCCATATAGCAGAACACCCTTCACGTGAGCAATTCCCATTTGTTCCACCAAACCAGGAGGGAACACTCGGGATGCGAAAGCACGACGGAATATGGTGCTAAATTCGTCGTCTAAACCTCCAATACCCATCGATTCGAATTTGAAGTCTGGCCGAATTATGGCATTTGTGGCGGGCCGCCTAACGGAACCCTTGAATTTGATGGTTGATGTGGCAGCCTTGGAGAAATTCACCTCAGATGTATTAGGGACCAGAATTCCCCTCGCATCCGGTCTTGAGGTTGGCTCTGACGGCTGGCTCTTCTCACCTCCAAGTTCAATGAGTTGAACTGTCCTCACAACAAATTTCAGAGGAATTCCCTTGTGGTCCATCAGGAGCTGCTGCCCAGGAGCGAAAATCTGTCCCTGGAACAGCTTTATAAAGGTATCTGCCAGCTGGTCCTGGTCATAAGGTTCATCTGTCTTCCGCGACGACAACGCAAAATCTGTCTCAAGATCCATACTGCTCAAAGGGATCATCTGATGGTCATACCGTTGGGCCTTAATGGTGTCAACCATACTAATCCCACACCAATGTCTCTGGCGTTCAGATAAGGTTATCCATCCTGGTTGTACGTGTTCCGTAGGCCGAGCAGTGACGACAAATTTATCGTTCAAGAGGATATGGATGTCCTTGCCGTAGGGGTCAGGGGGGAAGTCTTTCGGAGAGACGGCGCAAAGGTTAGAGAAGATATATTGATCGCCAAGGGCTTTTTCAAGCTTCGTCAGCTTCAGGTCAACTGTTTTGGTACCTGAGCCCGCAGCCTGGCGGCCGATTCCCTGAGGTGGCGGCATGTTATTTCCACCGTACCCGGGCGAGGGTGCACCACCGTAAGCGGCTCTAGGATCGTAGTCGGGCGACCCGCCATAGTCTCGTGATGGTCGCTGCGGAACTTGATTATAGCGGCCCTGCTCTCCACCCCGTCCTGGTAGTCCCCCGCGGGGTCCCTTTCCGAACAGGTTGTTTCTCAGGTCCATCGTGTATCGGGTGGGATGGTGTTGGTTAGACGAGCTGTGGGACGGCCTGCGGACCACGAATTACCCTAAACTGGTCAAGGAACTTAGAATCAATCGTTCAGTACGGACGCTAAAGTACTGACTGATAGGACGGCACTATGTGAAGAAGTTCGGCTCAGAAGACGACTGGAACCAAGTGCGAACTAAAAGAGGACACAAAGTTGATAGTTAGTTGTAAGGCTGTAAATCAAAGCAAAGCTGGGCCGACGATTGATGAAAGGTTACGTCGCAGTTGTCGTTTCAAGCCCGCACTAGGCCGACAGAGGCTTAGCCTTAGTTGCCTTCAGGTAGCAGGGGTAGGTAGATACGGACCCATATATGATAGGCGGGGCAGGATTCACCAATCATGATGTTGGTGTAGGTACGTCATCATTTTTCTAGATATTGGTCAGTGTCACATGACTGGTATCCACATATAGATTACCCCACGGTTAGCACCTAGAACTTAGTTCTCCATCACAATACAACAACAAGATTCCCTGACAGTCAGGATGAATATGGTATGGTCCAAGATGATGTTGTATTCTCCTTAGGTTAATCCCTAAGCTATTTAAGCTAATATATGGGTGTGGCACCGCCACACAGTGTTATCTATAGTCCCCAGCCCCAATATCTGTCTAGGATACATGCATAATGTGTGTGATGAAATTGACAAAGATATCTAATATTATACTACCGGGGCACAGAGCTTGAATCCTACCTCCTGATAAATAACTTATACCTTAGGTACTTACAAACATACCTAGATGAAGAGTGAACATGTGGGATTCTTTATATAGAGGTCCTAAGTGAAAATTATTGTTCTTATTTCGAAGTAAAAAAAATGCCCGGTAAGCCCGGCTCGTGCTTAAATCCGTGGGAAAGGTTTGCAGGCACCTCCCAAGAATTTAAATACGTAACTATTAGAATAATTTACACGTGACAGGTCACGTGACTCGAAAAAAAATAAAAGAAAGGGAGAAAAAACAACAAAACGCTTTCATCACGAGACGACTCCGAGGAGATGAAGAACCTTGAAGGCCGGATTAGGGTTCAAGCTGAACCTCTATTCCCCTCCTGTCTAGTCGAACTTAACTTAGGTAAAGGTTCTGTGGGAAGGCACGCACCACTTCTGAGAATTTAGCCTTAGCCTAGATTTCGTCATCCCTAGATTCCTGAATCAACCATCCTTTCTACAACCTCTTTTCTTTTCTTTGGTTTTGCAGCCAGACAGTTCTAGCTGGCTTCGCCAGCTTCAAACCTTTCCCAATAAATAACACAACGACGAGACTTGTCTAGATTATCCTCCACCAAGGTCAAGATATAATCGTGCTTCACAGATCTCCTTCTAGTTCGTCAATATATCCAAGGTCACATTGAATGATTGAATAGATTGAGTAGACAGACATAGGGCCACCTGGCTATCAATAATGGAATTGCTCACCCTTGGCTACGGCTTCAGAATATAAACAGGCTTTAAACACGACTCCAAGGTATAGCACAGTATGTAAGGGTACGTATATTGCTTTTTGTTGCGATGGAGAGAGAAAGCTCCTCTCCTCTCCAGGCTTACTATCCTAGTACTATATACATCATAAAGCATAAGCCACATGTCCGTGACACATCATAGTATATAGTAATAACCTATCTACAGCTTAGAGGCCAGAAATCGATACTGATTGCGCCAATAGGTTCAGTGATGCAGTAAGCTTACGTAGCAACGCCGGACAGATGACCCATATGACGACTGCGATTGTGTCGATGAGTGCTACGATCTTCTCCGGTATGGCTGATCCTGTATGACCATCTCCAGTGTGCTGGATGTAGCGCAGCCGTCTTTTCCCGGTGTTCCAGGTGAATGCTACCCTCTCCGTTTCTGGCAATAATAAGATTCCGACCCTTCATAAAAGACGATATATTGTCAGATAGTTATGTTTCTGCAAGAACATTGTTCTTGGTCTCTTTGACTGCTTTCCATCAAAGTCTTCCTCAAGAGCGTACTAGTTTGGTACACAATCATTCCAACATGGCCTCTCCGCTGCCCAACAGTCGTGTCCTGATCACAGGGGTAAC